CTTTACCGATTTAGTTAGGCGAATGAAATGATGAGCACACCGTACGCCCTTAGTTAAATCAATAAGACGTCGGAGAAAGGCCCGCCCAGGGACAACGACTGAACAAGCAAAATTGAGCAAACCGGTTAAAGATTGTATCTCGCGTAATGTGACCTTTTTGCGACAAAGAAAAGCCGATATCAACTGCTTGCATTTGTCAGTTTTATCCAAAGGTAAGCGGGCTTCCATGCACAAAGTATCTAATTCAATGCCGGCAAAGGAAAGAACGTTGTGTGGGCCGATTGTTTTTTCTGGAGCGATTGGCACGCCTACGTGTTCACAGAGAGACAAAAAGCGAACAAGGTCAATGCGACATTGGTGATAAGTAGGTGCGGCCATTAGATAATCATCGAGAATGTGGATTAGATGCGCGATTGACAAGTGTGTCTTAGCAACCCATTCGATAGCAGTGCTAAACATCTCGAAAGTGCGACATGACGACGCACACCCCATAGGCATAACTCGATCATAATAATATTTGCCTTGCCAAAAAATACCCAAGAGATCGTAATCGGCAGGGCGTATGGGAATAATACGAAATGCGCTTTTGATATCTGTCTTCGCAAGAAAACAACCGCGCCCAAGCTGCTTGATCATAGAAACTGCATCATCGACACGAGCATAGTTCACAGAGGTATGCTCGGGAGCAATCCCATCGTTAACAGAAGCACCGTTCGGAAATGACAAATGGTGAATCAAACGGTACTCCCCTGGAGTTTTCTTAGGAACAACGCCTAGCGGAGAGACTCGAAAATTGGGAAAAGGGGGATTGTCAAAGGGCCCAGCAATGCGATTCGCCGCTAATTCTTTCGAAAGTTTAGCACTAACGATTTCCGGGTTCTGCAGGGCCGAAACAAGATTTGTTGCAAAAAACGATATACGAATGCCTTCAAAATGAAGGGGAAAACCAAATTGAAAACCATTATATAACATAGATGTCAATCGCACATCATATCCACATAGTAGAGGGGAGAGTTCATTAATTTGTACTGGTGTTGGCAGGACGGGACTTGGATGCTGCAGGGGTTGACTGCGAATTTGAGCGTGAGGGACGAAAATTACATCGGAGTGCGGAGTGGACTACACCACATTTAAAGCATTGATGTTTAAAATTACAGCCCGGACAATCGCCGCCCCGATGGAACTTGCGACAAAATCCCCTGGGAACAAATAGGGCAGGAACTGACGCTGGTGAATTAGACCCATGATTACGCGTAGGTAGCTGGGTTTTAGTGAAGCGTGAATGATTGAAATTTTGCGCCCTTATCCACAGTTCCCAGTGAGTGTCGCTCCACGGTGCATCGGCTGGGTTAGTTTGACGCAAAAGACGAAATTGAGCGTCGTAAAAACGCCAGTCACCCCCGCGAGCAGCCAAATCGCGAACAACTTCGCCGTATTTCATCAAAGCGGGGGCCTCCATGGGGAATTTAGTTGTGTACACCCCGACAAAAATTTGAAACGCTGAAGTCCATGGCTCGATATTAGGGATGGACTTCACTCTGTGTGTTGGTTCCAAAGATAAAAGCGGAACATTGGAGCCTTCTTGAGGCCCCACCGACAGCTGATAACGAGTATCACAAGCCCCAGAACCAAGCAATAGGCTGAAATCTAAAAATTCATTGGCCCAAATTTTCGACTTCAATTTGGCACTAACGTTTGCTCCGATAGGCAAACTGATGGAATTAAATTTGGAGCTTGGCGTTGGGGACCGCGATACCGGCACTAAATAAGGCTCACCTGATATATTGAGTAAAGCAGACGCCACCGGCCCCTGCATCGTGGCGTCTGCCGTACCCAACACACCCGAAGCAACCACTGGCAATTCACGCGTCTCCGTCGAGAACTCGGGCGGTGTAGATGGGATGGTGTGTGACTGGAGGTTGGCCATGACCGCCTGCGTTGTTTCCGAAATTATTCGGGCAAGAGTAGTTTCTGAGAGGGTAAAATGGTTGGTAGACCCCGCAGAGGTGTTGTCTGTTGTTGGTGCAGTAGTTGGCGCGGACAATGGCTGCGGCAAGGTATTCACCGATGTACTGGGAGCCGTGAGTGGACCGGAGCGGGACGATCGTCGCGGTCGGCCGGGTCGGGTTGGTTGCGTTCGCCTCTTCACTCGTTTACTCGCTCTGGTAGTGGTAGCAGGCATAATTCCGTATAGCAAGAACTAAGGAATAAACAAAGAGCAGAGCAAGAGAATAATCATGGCATACAACGAGGGTAGCCGCATTTGATTATCCCGTGATGCTGCAAATACTGAAAATTATCGGGCAATCTGAAAACAACATGCCGCACCATCCCACAATATATTGACTTCAACTGTGGGCATCCGGAAACGTAAAACGCCCTACCCACTAAGACATGCATTTTTTCCTACACAGAACGAACGAGCGATATATGCATAAAACTACATCAGCACGACAAACATCACAAACCACACAACGCATATATAACAAGTAAAATCATGAACTCGTCCTGCGCAGCAAAAAACCCATTGTTGAAATCTCAACGTGGGCATCTGTAAACAGTCATGTTGCTCTAGCCCATATTGAGTGAATCAAACGTATGATAAACGACAAATAAAAATGCGGAGTATGCGTAGTAAGAGATATACAGAAAAACATATACACACATATATAATATAATATATGCATAATATATACACGATAAATGAACTACAACAGTGCCAGAGCTTTCAAAATAGCCCCGCGATAGCTCCTATACAAACAATATTGCCCTTGTGTGTTACAATGAACGCCGTCCGTGGATAACAGAACACGGGCGGGATTGAAAAATTCCCGATGTTCCCATAGAAAAATACCCTGCTCCTCTGCAAGAACCACGGACAAATACTGGCGCAAAAGAGCGGCCTTGGTGTTAAAAACACTATCAGATTCCGCGTTTTGGCGATGTTGCGGTCAATCACCTGGCACACCCCAATGACGCGAACGTGAAATTCGTCGCGAAGTTGGCGAGCGAGCTCTTCAAGCCTCGATCCTACTACCTCAGGGGCATGTGTAGTTAGATCATTTGTGCCCAACTCGAGAATTATAATGTCAGGTTTGGCAGATCGGACAGAAGAAAGATCGAATTGAATCACTTTTTCAACTGTCCGGCCACCTGTACCCAGCATAGTGACATAACCCGATTCGGGAATATGGAAATTTTGGGATGCACGGGAATCGAAATTAGCCTTTAAATCATCCCGTAAGCGACGGACAAAAGAATGACCCAAAATTAAAATATTGGGAAAGCCAAAAGACATTCTAAATTATTTCAACAAATGTATGACACCTCTTTGAATTTATCCGTCAATTTCGTAAAAATTATTTTGATTGGGAAAGTATTTATTTTTAAAGGTAATCTGTTTACTGAGAAGGGGTAAATATTTCAATCTTACAAAATGTTGGCCATTTCATATGACCGGAAAATCAAGCACCGGAAATAAAAAAACGGATGTGAAATGGTAGCCACATTAGAGCTATACAAACTCCTTTACATGTCCTAGACTGACAACATTCTGCTTCATTATGTGATTTAAATTAATTATAATTTTTCATGCTTTAAAACATTAACAAATGCAGCTAAATATAAAATTACAGAAGTCATTACAATTACAAACAATTACAATTAGTTGACAACTAGCAATGCAATCATTATTTAAGAATTAAAAAACGAGTCGCGTGCCTTTATGGTGTAATAATGCACGATGGGGGAATGTTGGGAGAATACGAGAGAAGCTTGTAAAACACGAGGCGTAGCCGAGTGTTTTACAAGCTTCTCGAGTATTCTTCCAACATTTCCCCGAGTGCATTATTACACCATAAAGGCACGCGACGAGCTTTTTTAATTCTTTTATTATATAAGAAGAAATTATAGGGCAACAACAAAATTTATTTATTTGATCAATAATGGAATTCTCTTTACATGTTATTTAAGATGTTGCTTAGCAACAAAAACTTCAAAAGCCAGAAGCGTGCATTATGGCCTCACAATGCACGCGCGGTAGCCAATCAAATTGCTCGTTATATCATACTTATATTATAAAAGTTATTAATAGACCTTTCTTATAATGACGTCAAACGCGGTCTGATGATACACGGAATTTGATTGGCTCCACATAACTATCGAGCTAATCAAACTTCGTGTAAGATCAGACTTTCCGCGTTTAACGTCATTATGAAAAAGGTCTATTGCTGGTTTATGATCAAGTTTTGCACATGCTACCCTTTCTAAATAGTTCGCTTCAATATTTCATATTGAGCTTCCTGACTTCTTCTCACAATTGACCTTGAATTAGCTTGAATTATATCATTACAATAATTCAGAACTAACACTGTATTATACATTATAAGAGTCATAATATTAAATTGTTACTTGGAGCTTTATGATATTGCGTTCCCAAGCGATTAAGATGTTACAAGTCTATGCAATATTTGCATGCAAGTCTTTGGCGCCCCTATATTGATTCTATCGCTGATACCAGTTTATTTGTTATACAGAGGAATTCGGCGAAAATTTTGTAATGTTTTTGTGACATTCGCATGCATGTAGAAATCTGCTGCAATTTTTTGGCGGTCGCATATAAACTTTAGTTGATTCCTATCGATCATTATTCAATCTCATAAACGTTAATTGTTTTTCGTCAATCCTTAGTTTTTATTCGAAAAGTGCTATCATGCATGTGGTAAATTATTAAGCCTGCACAAGAACTACAAGCAGGTTTAAAATTGAAACAATCTGGGCACCGAGGAAAAACATCAGATTATCAAACAAAGTCGAAAAATCTCGCAATGTGCTTTTCTCGAAAAGTTGTCATGGAAACAAATTTAGCGCATGCAATGTTGTGCGAATGCGCTTTAGGTATCGCTTCTTGTTTTGCGCTAATCTTCATTCTTTTTCCTTTTGCGAGTTGATTACAAATTTAATTTTAAATTAGACTGTCAATACGAAATGTGTACAAGCGCAGCTGGCTGCAATATATATATGTACATTTTTCATTTAACTAAGAACTAAGAACGCTAAACTCTAAAAAGGTTCTAAATCATTTGCCTAAAGCTCTAGCACAAGTATTCGTCCACGACGGGAACGCTGTGAACGAAAGGACGTTTCTACAGTTGATCATGAATAATATCAATTTTGTACAAGTTTGGCTAAACAAAGAACATATGTAAAAAGTCTGGTTTATAAAACTCTTCCCTTGACATAGCTCAACGTTAATCTTCTAATAATTCATCAAAACTTTTGTTAATCTGTATCTGGGATTCTGTTAGTCTTCATTGACGAAACAGTCTCTCAGCGCTTCGTCAGCATAAGGTCTTTTATCAATCTTGTGATTAATCAGCCACGACACAAACTTTCGAGCTTTACGATCACCAAGTTTCTTCAAATTCACAGACTTTCCTTTCAAAATATTTTTCATTCGATCTAACCTGCATCCGAAAGGGTGTTCACCTTTAGTTAAAACGTAGAAAGCAATCATACCCGCGACATGAACATCCGATTTCTTTTTGAAGGGACCTTTTTCTTTTTTCTCTCCTGCTTCTATTACTTCAGGTGGTATCCATCCTTCAGAACCTTTAGCATATGTTTCAACTGTTGTCTCGCCTTCCTTCAGAATGCGGCTTAGTCCAAAGTCTGCCAATTTCATGTGACCATCCATACCAACCAGGATGTTTGATGGTTTTAGATCTCTGTGCAATATTCCTTTATCATGAAGAAATTCAAGTCCGGATAGAATTTCTTTGATCAACCGTGGACCGTGGTCTTTTAGCTGCTCAATAGTCTCCGAATCAACAAATTCTCTCAAGGTTTCTTCACAAAGATCTACAATAAGATACATGAATGTCCCGTCGTTGTGAAAATGTCGATAGCTGACTATAAATGGAGAGTTTTCTGTTCTCATTAGACGCATGATTTCCTTTTCGTTTTCAGCTACTTTATAACACTTTTGCACCAGCATTGTCTTAACAGCAACTTCACTTCCATCCTTCATGATACCAACATAGACACATGAATAACCACCATCGCCAATTCTGAATTGCCCTTCGGCGACAAAAGCTTCTATCGGAATTTCAGTCTATGGAAGAAAAAACATAGATTCTTATAGATTCACATCGGCGGATCAAACACCACAATCGCACATACACACACACACATACATACATAAACAATTTATCTAATGATGCATTTCTCATCACCACTAAATTGATGTTCTTCCTGAGAAGCGTCAAAGGGATAAAACATATTTACAAAAAAACTTTGAATAGAAGGTTTCTTGGAAGGTCTCTGATAATATGTATTGATGAAACTAAGCTTCAAGATGCCTTTTAAAAGCACTTAAAGTAGTTTATAGCTTTGCATCTGTAGAGAGCGAATTCCATGTTACAGCTCCACTATATACTTAAAAGTTTTTTTAAGATATTCGCTCTTAGGTTTAGGGATTATCAAATCAGTTTTCCTATTTCATAATTGATAGTTGTTTTGAATATCATTCATTCGAATAAAGGACGCCCTTAGGTTGGGAGCATTGTGGTTATTTAATACTTTAAACATTAGAATAGATTTAGTTTTCTTATGTCTTTCTTCAATATTTTTCCAAGACAGAGCCTGGATTATATCAGAGGAACGAGTTTCATAAGATGCCTGAAACAACTCTTGCAGCTCTGTTTTAAAGCTTTTGGAGTTTATCTCTCAACACATTGCCACATTTATCCCACAGTGGAGTGCAATAATCAAAATACGGATGGTTTATCTCTCCTCATTACTCCGATTCCGGATCCAATCTTGGCACAAATGTGCTCAATATGTTTTTCCCAATTTAGCTTCTCGTCAAGTTGAACCCCCAAACACCCAAAGGAGGAGAAGCGAGTAATAGGTATATTATTAATCATCACTTGTGCATCATCAATTTTGTTTTTAAGATTATAATTTGAGCCGATAAACATTAATTTCGTTTTCCTGGGGTGGAGTTGTAATTTATCTTTAGAGAGCCATTTTCATATGTTCACAAGATCCTGATTAAGTTTCTAGTTCGTTAAAGTTTCCCGACGATGCATATATTTGGGTATCGTCAGCATATAAACCGGGTGTAGTAGCCTTAAGACAGTCAGGCAACATCGGTTATTATCATCACTTGTGTTACTATCGGTTTTCAAAATGGCGGATTCGCCAATAAAAATTCATGTTATACATAATATACACTAATAATGTGTTACGGTGTGCTAAAACCGCTGTTTCTTTTTTTGAGACACGATGTAAAACACGTGATGACTGACATTCTATATTTTTATAATAAATTTATACTGATATAAAATAGACGGAGAAGTGACCCATTTTATCCAAAGCGATTTTTACTATTTCCAGACTAATATGTATTTAAGCCTTGATCGCTATATCGGTTAATAAACAGTGTTACTAATCATATTCATTCAAAGAACCTCATATACCGTATGTTTAAATCAAATTTCAAGTATTACCTTCTCTAACTGGTTGGAATTCGTTGTAACAAGCACCTGAATTTTCTCACGATGTTTTGTCGACCTTTTAAGAATACTTGCAATTTCATCATGACCAAGGTGGATGCTCAATTCAAGAGGGCTTAAATTTTTTCCATTACCTTTCCATAAAGTGACGTTCTTTTTTAACAGAAGAGTGACCAAATCAACTGAATTCTTCACAATTGCTATCTCCAAAATACTAGAGCCAAGAGTAGTATTTTTGAGAGTTGAATCAGCAACCCGTTCCACACAATACGTTATCATTTCTATTCCATCAGTCTCGAGAGCAGCGCGTAAAATTGTTCCTTCGCTACTACTTACATCAGCACCATTTTCAACAAGATATTTTACTATTTCCAGGCTATCTTCAATAACAGCAAAATGCAGCACAGTCATCCCGTTCGTTTTTTTCCTATTCACATCAGCGCCCTTTTCCACAAGATATTTTACTATTTCCAGACTATCTTCAGAAAAAGCAAAGTGCAGCACAGTCTCCCCGTCAGTATCCTTGCCATTTACATCAGCCCCCTTTTCCACAAGATATTTTACTATTTCCAGCCTACCTCCAGTGACAGCAGAGTGCAGCACAGTCCTCCCGTTTGTTTTTTTCCCATTTACATCAGCGTCCTTTTGGACGAGATATTTTACTATTTCCAGCCTATCTTCAGTAACAGCAGAGTGCAGCACAGTCCACCCGTCAGTGTCCTTTCCATTTACATCAGCGCCCTTTTCAACAAGATATTTTACTATTTCCAGACTATCTTCAGAAACAGCAAAGTGCAGCACAGTCCCCCCGTCAGTATTCTTGCCATTTACATCAGCCCCCTTTTCAACAAGATATTTTAGTATTTCCAGCCTATCTTCAGTAACAGCAAAGTGCAGCACAGTCCACCCGTCAATATCCTTGCTATTTACATCAGCCCCCTTTTCAATAAGATATTTTACTAATTCCAGCCTTTTTTCGATTACAGCAGAGTGCAGCACAGTCCACCCGTTTTTCTTTTTCCCATTCACATCAGCGCCCTTTTCCACAAGATATTTTACTATTTCCAGCCTACTTCCAAAGACAGCAGAGTGCAGCACAGTACTCCCGTTTGTTTTTTTCCCATTGACATCAGCGCCCTTTTCTACAAGATATTTTACTATTTTCGGACTATCTTTAGAAACAGCTAATTTCAGCACAGTCCACCCGTCAATATCCTTGCCATTTACATCAGCCCCCTTTTCCACAAGATATTTTACTATTTCCAGCCTACCTTCAGTGACGGCAGAGTGCAGCACAGTCCTCCCGTTTGTTTTTTTCCTATTTGCATCAGCGCCCTTTTGGACAAGATATTTTACTATCTCCAGCCTATCTTCAGTAACAGCAGAGTGGAGCACAGTCCACTCATTAGTGTTCTTGCCATGAATATCAGCGCCCTTTTCAACAAGATATTTCACCATATCAGGAGAACCTTCAGTAACTACTGTTCCTTGATATTCCTGTCTTAGTCCATCCTGAAATTGAAGTTTCTTTTCCTCTTTACGCACGTTTGTACTTTCACTTAGGTCTTTCTTCGCATCAGTGCCTATACAGGGTATATAACAAAATACTTCTGTTATGTGCATTCTGATTGGGGAGCCGTTAGATCGTACCGGCCTACTCAAACAGCAAAACGTACAAGCGATCTAAATATGAAGCAAAAACGCTTTGTTAATAACTTTTAATTTACTGCTATATTCTCTGCGAAATAATCACAATATTAGTTCAGAATGATCCTAAACATTTATGGCTTCACACCTTCAGAAACATGCAAAACTTAAGTTATTTTCAAATCAGCGGGCCCTGCATTGTAATGATCCAATTGAAATCGATAGTAAAATCAGCTGAGAGGAACAGCTATTGTACACTAGCGGTCAAAAAGAACTATTTAGATGCAAATTCAAAAAAAAGAAGCGAATATGGGAGAGGGCTTCATAGGCATTTTTTATAATTATTTTATTCCAAGCAATATTTTAATAATGTAATGCAACCTGCCACACTTCCAAGATAATCAAACAATAATTTCAGGAAGAGGGAGCGACAGAAATGGATTGGCCTGCACAGTCAAAAGACCTTTATTCTATTCAAAATCTGTGGGACAATGCCAAGGGGATAGTGCAAGAAAGGAATTCATTCATAAAGCGTCCATGATTTATGCGTTGCTGTAAAGACTGTCCATAGGATGAATTTCTTTTGACCGCTCAAGATTACCACCTTAACGGAAAGTATGCCACGCCGGTGTAAGGCCGTCATCAATCATAAGGCCAAAGGAGGATGAACAAAATATTTTAATATTTCATATTGCTTAGCATGTAAGCTAGTCTATATTTACTCGTATACATTGTTAGAGGGACAGTTACGTTCAATTGAGAGGATTGTAACTTGTTCTGAGCAGTTCTTTTTGACGGTAAATTTTCCGTTTTTCAGGATATTTTGCAGAATTTGGCAAATTTTCGTGTTCCGAGGGATGGCTAAAACTTGTCTGGTATACCTAGGGTAAGTTTGTTTTTTCATTAACAAAATTATGTTACCGTGGGCCGGGGTGGTTCCTATCCACACATATTGAAAGAGCTTACGCGCCAAAAAGTTATTATTCATTAAATGTTATTATTACTTTTTCATATTTCGAACTCCGTGTTTTAGTTATCCACCTAAAAGCTTAAATACATTTCGTTAATACCCCAGGGATATGAATATGGTATTGTTTGTACTGAAATTTGTGCATGCACGCATCTTTCCCCCCGCTTTTAAAATAAACTGCCTCGATAGCAATGGAGACAGCCCAGTTTACACCCCCAAAAAGAGCTTTTTTAGTAACTGAACACCATCGTATAACAACGGCAATATAAAAGCAGTTCTTCAAGTGTTTCGGGAGCAATTTCCGGATGTTCGCTGCCCATCGAGCAGAACCGTTTTGAGAAATGTGCAAAAGTACAATCAACACGGCCCGAGTCATAACCTGAACAAAGGCAGATCTGGACGTCAACGAGCAGCCAGGACTGAAGAAAACATCCAGGCCGCTCGAGATCTCTTAAATGACAACCAGCCATCCAGCCTGACGGGAAAATAATACGTGCACGTCGCAATGGTCTTGGTTTGTCTTCTGCGACATTCAACAGAATAACGCGATTGGATTTACACTTTCATCCATATCAGATGATCAGGCGGCATCCGCTACCGGCTGGCGATTACCAGCGCAGGCGACAGTTTTGTAACTGCCTTCCGGCCCAAAACGGACATTTTCTGGAAAACGTTATTATTGGGTGACGAGGCTGGATTTTCCCTTAATGTGATGATTAACACACACAATGTGAAACATTACGCTCCTCGCGGTCAACCACCATTGGACTTTCAGTTTGAGCGTAACGAAGATCGGCATAAGATAACTGTTTGGGTGGGTTTGATGGGTTACGTTTGCATCATCGGTCCCTTCTTTTTCGAAGCGAACGTCGACGGTGATGGTTTGGCCCAAACCGTAACGGGCGATTCCAAAGGCTTTGGTGGGTACAGGAAGGCGCTCCACCACACAGAAGACAACTTGTCTCGGATCGGACCATACAAAAAGTCTCTTTTGTCAACCCGAAGCGTAATTCGTAATGCTGCCGAACTTAGTAAATATGTATGGTCGCTAAAAGACTCTGATGTACAACACTCAATTAATCCAATGGAAAATTTAAAACGATGTAAACCGTATTCTAGTATAACTAAGCGATGTAATTTATGCTTGTATGAGAAGTTTATAACTATTTGTTATCCTGAGCTTTGTACACTTAACAGAAAGAACGAACTAGTATCAAACTGTAGACACAGAAAAAGACACTTATTGTATAGCAAATGACGGCAATCCGATACGTTACCGACCGCACAACGAATTATCACAACAGGCCTGAATTAAGCATATAATATTTCATAGCGCTCATAAACGCGATCAGTTGTTACCTGACGAGTGTGGTAAGCTTTGCTTGCCATACGAAACAAATTTGTCGTAATAAAGTTTTAATGAAATAAACCAGTTGGTCATTCTTGTTTTATATATATATATATATATATATATATATATATATATATATATATATATATATATATATATATATATATATAACAAGAATGACCAACTGGTTTATTTCATTAAAACTTTATTACGACAAATTTGTTTCGTATGGCAAGCAAAGCTTACCACACTCGTCAGGTAACAACTGATCGCGTTTATGAGCGCTATGAAATATTATATGCTTAATATATATATATATATATATATATATATATATATTATATATATATATATATATATATATATATATATATATGTATATGTATATATATATATATATATATATATATATATATATATATATATATATATATATATATATACATATATAGATATATATATATTTATATTTAATCTTAAAATATTTTCATCGCTTAAAATATTTAATCTTAATCTATATATCATATATATATATATATATATATATATATATATATATATATATATATATATATATATATATATATATCCAAATAATTGACTGTAACAAAAAGATCACAGAACTTGACAATGGTTGGAGAGCGCTCAATACCATTACTGGCAGAGCGATAATATATATTTATTGAAAGACTAGCTTAGCTACTCGGAGTTTCACGCTATAAAGCGATCATCAGGCTAATGGCAGGTCTGGTTGCTATTCTCTATATTTACATCGTGATATAAGGTGTCGAATTACGTGTCTATACATTTCGTAAAGAGTTCAGAGCGTTTGTTCAGCAGTGTTCTAGTTTTGTCTTTCATGATATGGAGTTTCTCCTCAAGGCAGAGGTTGCATCTTCTTGAACCGGCTTTGTAGGCTGGGACAGTTTTCAGTAGGGACCATGAAATCGAAAAATCTTTCTTAGCTTCCTTCAGCTTCCATATGTGTTTCGACAGTTCCGTCTCCTTGGCATACTTCTTATTCGCGAAAGATTTTGCGTGATTTCGGTAGCGTGTTTTGAAAACGTCCGCAGTGACTCCGATGTACCTGGCTGGTGGATCGTTGTTGCGCGTGGACACTTCGGCTTGGTAGACTACGTTTGATGTGAGGCATTTACCTTCAGCTGGGCATTTTTCCGGTAGTCTGCAGTTGCATTGTCGTTGTTTGCTTGTGTCGTTTGTGTTTGCGTTTGTCTGTTTTGTGTGTTTGTTCAGTATTTTCTTGTTGTGTTTGTTTATGAATGAGCGCATGTTGTCAAGACAGCCGTAGCTGATTCGTACGTTATGTCGATTGAAAATTTTATGGAGTTGATTGGAAGGTGGGAAGTGTTTGTCTAACAGATGTAGGAATTGTTGTCCGATGTTCGTTTTTACGTTTTTCGAATAAGGGGGGTTATACCAGAT